AAACTTGTTTATGTATGCTTTGATCCATTTTAGACCCTTTTATGTCCTGGGTAGGGACTTTGGATTTCATTTTATTGCTAGACATTCTGAAGGAGTCATTCTTTTTTTATTCATAATATTAACAAATTAAGAAGGAAGGATTTTTCTCTTATAATTTTCAAGTATTGAGAGTATAATCAAAAAGAATGTTAAAACCCAGCATATATATGAAATAATAAAAATGACCTTCATGCTTTATAAAGCCATGAAAAAGTTTTGATTGTAAAGGTGGAATGTATGTATTACACATCCTTTAAAAACAAACATTGGTTACTTGGTTTTAAAGTGCTCTGAGAATAATTAAAGTCCTATTTCTGTAAGAAAGCTCAAACTTACTTAGGTATGCCAGAACTAAGAGTTTATACATGAATTCTGTATTTATCAGTAGACAGAGCAAGTGCTGTGAACTCATTTGTTCTGAAGTTATGATTAAAGACCTGACCGTTCTATATTGCCTCTTTTATGTCTACATACTTGGTTAAGGTTTTCATCCATGGTTATATTTAACTTCTTTGTCAAGACTTTAAACAGCATGGAAAATAAAAACATTCTTCCCCCTTTTTTGTATCCTGGAAGTGATTGTATCAGTATCATTTCAAAGATGGTATATCCCATGCAGTTTTCCAAAGTGTGTAATTGTGTACTTGCTAGAGTTTTCTTACTGAAAAAATGTTTCATGCTACACTCAGTCTTACTGTTCTTGATATTATGTCATTGAATATTAAAACCTTTTGGTTGAAAGAAGACCAGGCAAACAAATGTAGCTAAGAAAAAAGCAATTAGCCAAGAGCTTGCATAGTTATACAGCTATGATAAAGCTAACATTTGGAGTATAATTTCAGGATGGGGGTCCCAACATGAATATTCTTATCACAAGTCTAGAGTTGATAGGATTTAGGAAGGCTGATATTAATTAGATTAATAAAAATTTGTAAACATAAGTAACAGTATGATTAATTTTCTTTTGTAGCCAGGTTTGTACTTGAGGCTGTTGTTTGATAGCAAAAGTCACTTGACAAACAGTTGAGGGAGAGTTCTTTATGTACTTCAGATGTTTTCATTATTGGGCCAGTTCTTGCTATAGGCTGTGACATAGCTCTCTGGCCAGTGCTGAGCAAGTGCTAGAATATTCTCAAGATTTCCTAATTTTATTAAATGTGTTTATGTTGATTCCACCTGTTAAATTATTTCACCTGTTTTTTAATTTATCTTACATTTTTAAAGAACAGGTTTACTAGGAAAAGAAAAAAAGATAACTGAGTAACTTACAAGTGGGCTTGAGAGCTGCCTAATCTGTTATTTTGACTAGGGGATATTTAATTTTCGTAATGATTTCTTTTGAGTTTTGACACTTTCAGGTAAAAGTTGTATTAACAGTGCAAAAAATCCCAGAAAATCCTTCACTCAGATTTGCCAAACGTGAACTTTTTACTTCCTTTGCTTTCTTTTTCTAATTATTTTTCCTGAACTATTTGTTATGTCCTACCATACTCTAGTGTTCCCCCTCCAAAAAAATCAGTGTAATGATCAAAATTAGAAAACTAACTTTGATACAAACTGTTAACTCATGGACCATATTGAGATTTTTTTTTTTTTAAAGATTTATTTATGTATATAAGAACTAGAGTAAAAAACAAACGAAAAAAAGAACTGGGGTATAAGCCAGAGGATTGGGGGTTGGGGATGCTGAGAGAATTCACCGAGTCGGGAGCAGAACAGGTAGGTCTACTAAAATACACTGGTGAGGGGAACAGCAGGCAAGACAAGAGAGATAATACTGTTCCTTGTGGGTTAGCTCCTTGGCTGGCCAGGTAATCAAAATAGTGCTGCAGTGGCTGCCGTTAATTTGGTGGTGCTGTGTCTTTAACC